TTTAGTGCTTTGATCTCAGCCGGTGGTAGGTGATATATGTCTCACGGACGTGTGAGTTACTGACAGACTTTCGTCCTGAGCTGTTGTCGTTTTTCTTCAGTCAGTGGACACTTTCGAATTCCGGTCTCAACTGAGGCGATGAAATCGGTTGACCTTGTGTTTTCGCAGTCGAATTTCAGTCCTTTCAGCAAAACTGATGTATCTCTTGGTGCAGGTCGATACGTTGAGAGATTGTAGATTAATTTAACTTCTTCATGTTTTGTCGGATTCAGTGACAGAAATTTCTTATTGAGTCTTTCCCTGGCTTTGGATCGGCTAGTATTTGACGTTGTTTGGATAGCTTTCTTCACTCGTTTTATGCACTCACAATTGGGTAATCCTGATGCTTCGGTTCTGAAGTGCATTTGCATTTGTTTTCGTAGAATTTTTTTTTTTGCGGTGAGCGTCGTTGATCAGTTCATGGTGCATTCTCTTGCAATAAGAGTTGGCAATCATTCGCGCCCCCGGNTTCATCCAATCACAATTGAGTAATCCTGATGCTTCGGTTTTGAAATGATTTCATTCGTTTTCGTAGACCTGTTTTCTGCGGTGAACGTCGTTGGCAATCATTCACGTCAGGCTTGATGACACTGGGGACGGTAGTTAATGCTTTTTGGAAAAGTATTATTGCGTAAACACTGATGAAGAAAGAACAATTGTTCGCACACAGCACCACAGCGGTTGGAGTAGCTTTCCCATTTTCTCACACAGTTAAGCGCATTGCGTCCGAAAGGTGCATTCACAAGTGAAAATATCTGCAGCTCAGGTTCCATATTTTGAAAAGGAGAAGACGAGCACTGAGTGATCGTATTTATTGTGACGTTTCGATATATATATATATATATATATGTATATTTATATGTATATGTATATATGGTTATGATCATCATGTGATTGCATCTATGGTTCATCTTGACCTCTGGAATTTCAGTGGGACAACCACGAACGCAGTCTGCAATTGGAGCAAGTTCACCGAGCTCGTGTTCTAAAGCGAATCAACGAGAAGGTGATGAACAAGGAGGGCACATGGATCGACTGGCAGTATTTGTTGACCGCTGCCGATCGACTTCGGGATTGCCGTTACACGCTGAAATACACCTACCCGTTTGCTTATTTCTCGGAGAATTTCGAGCGGAAAGAACTTTTCGAGTACCAACAAGCTATGCTCGAATTGGAGGTGGAAGAACTGTCCTGGAAGATTGAACATGCGGAGGTTACGGACCGAGCCGATTTGCAGAATGCGATGGATGTTTGCGAAAAGCATCGGCAAACTCTGCTTCAGGAATTTCTATCCGATTAATACATCCCGGTGGTCAGTTATTTTTATTTTGGCGGCCTATATCGCCGAACTCATTGTGATCGAACATTTGTCGTGTCCTGCCGTGGGTTTGAACACAACAAAAACGTTCATTAAAACAACCAACTACCCAGTTAGCTTATGTGCAGCCTCCCAGAAGAACAGTATCTGTTTTCTTCTCACTTCTTCGTCCTCATTTCTTCTTTTTGTTTATTCTTAGCTCCCACATATCCGACCTTTCTCTGTCGGCTTCTTTAACCCTGTATACTGTTACAAACGTTTTCGTTATTTGCAATATCATGTCATTCAATCTCTCTCTTTCTCTGTCTCGCTTAAACAGTCATGCATTCATTCGCCCGTTCAGTCATCCACCTCTTTCGAATCGTACTACAGACAAACTTGAACTGCTCTTTCTCTCTCTCTCACACACACACACACGCACACCATCCATCTTACTTGCTAATCGATTGTCTGTTCATGGCTTTATTTTATTTGGGTTTACAATGTCAGGCACCATCCTGTCTCTCGCTCTGCCTCATGTAGATGTACATATACTCATACATACTGAGGTTGAAATAACTTGTATTAGAGTGCGATAGATGTCGAGTTAACACTCAACTGGATTTCGGAACAAAATAATTACACTGGATTGATCACATAGGACTACCGAGAAGCGCTTATCAATAGTGACGGGGACACCTTGTTTCACCTCACGAAATCAACTGAATCATTTGAAATTCTCTTGTCTGATTGCTATCCTACCGGCTTTGGCGTTTNNTTGGCGTTTTCATTGAATTGCTTGATGAATTTCGTTGTCAATAGAACAACGGTTTGTGACCCGAAAAGTTTGGAGACACTGTACAGCCGTTTCAGTCTTGTTGGGTCTCATCAACAATCTATGACTCTTCCAATCCAAGCTAGAGGCTAGTTAGACTGTTTAACTTTTTTCAAACATCGCAATGATGTTCAAACTGGATTGGGTCCACCGTAAATTAATTTTTAGTCTTCTATTTTCACACTCTTCTGGATCCAAACTGTGGCAAATAAATCATGGTACAATAATCTTTATGATCAAGAAAAACATTCCATGATTTGCATGTGAGCGGAATACTGCCAGGTTGCCCAGGCCAAGGTTGGTGAATTTTCTTGAGGAATCCACAACCAGAGCCTTTAGCTAGCCAAAGCCTGACCCACAAGGCAGCGGGGTGGTGTGCGAACACTGCAATCCATTGGGAGCCGGTGTCTAGTTCATCCGGTCTTACGCCCTTTGGATGAGCTCAAATATCCAATTTACCCAAAGTAGCTCGATGCCCAATCGAGCCGGTGACCACTACCACAACCGGGAAGGTGTGCGTGGTTCGTACACCTCTTGTTTGGTTTGGAATCAAGGTTTTGGCCAACTCCCCTAGGTGGACTACCGTGGTCCCGGATATCGGCTTTCTGGCCTCTTACTTTGGTGCGAAAACACCTTCGCCACGAGAAGGCAGTGAGTAGGACTTCCTCAGCAGAGGCTATTTGAGATGCTTGGTCATATGGGAGCATTTCTCGAAGTGCAAGGAAAGGGTGACCAGCCGCAACCTTAGACACCCACCCCCCACCATACTGAGGCTTTTGAAGGCTAGCCGTAAATTGTTTTCCAGGTTTTCAGTTCATGCTTTCATTACTCGGTATACAAATAAATTATATTTACTTCTGATCATGGTCCCGGTCGTTATTGCTGCAAAACTATGGCACGGAGAAATTGCGATGACCGATATGTTTTTTGTAGCGTGAAGCGTCAAAAATGTCTATGGAGCTGCAGAATTCTACAGTGCAATTGCTCCATCTTTTTACCTGGTCTTGCCCCTCATCCTCAAACAATTAAATTCCTTCTGACCCTCTATACGATCTGTTACTATCATTTTCCTCGATTTGTGCAACATGGATTCCCTCAGCCTCAGACTGTTTGATCACCGGTTCGTAATGATTGCGATATTTATGTAGTCACTTATTTTCCAACCGTGTGATGATGGCACTCCTATTGTACACAGTCAGAGTTCTCGGGGCATGCGGTTGTGGGTTCTCCCCACGGGTTAGTTGGGTGAGCATCACTTCCGTTGTTGCAGCTGAACCATCCGACCGATTGATCGTGTGTATCGGACCCGCACTGGAGAATAAGTTATGGATCCAATGCTGCGTATGCCTTGGGATAGACTCAGTTATAAAGCGATGCACCGTCCTGGCTACTGGGATGATGACATTTTGCCAACGTTTGACTGGACTAAGATCTAGGCACAATGTTTCCAAGTATGTTCGAAAAACTGGTACCATATTATAAGATTATTCGCGGTCTCGTTGTTGACTTTGTACTGCGAATTGGAGATCCAAGGTGAGTTGCAAGCTTGTCTGGATGGTCTGTGTTCGACATGCGTTGTGCACCTTCAAAGTGTAGAATATTGCTACAGGGCTGCGTTGATGTCGCTCGTAACCTCAACAACTGAGGTAGCTATATCACAGTTGACGGGCTCATCACGAATGAAGTATCGGCACGCACTCGTGAGGCTCGTTTGGTGTTTGACAATTTGAGGCATGTGGTGACGTCGCGTCATCCGGCTGTCGAGTGTATGCCACAACAGTCCGGGCAATGCTGCTTTACGGCGCAGAGACTTGGCCATTACGGGAAGAGCATAAAGATAGACTATCGGTGCTTGGACACCACTGTCTACGTCGTGCTGCACGAGTGTAGTGGGGAAACTGACCAAGCAACACATAGTTTTAGGTAATCGCTGTATTCTGTTCGGGCAAGTGGTCGACCTCCTTAGATGATATTGGCCGGGGCATATGCTAAATATGTTACCAAACAGATTTCCATGGTGCCGATGGATAAAAGAAGAGGGCGTTCACACTTAGATCTGACATGAGGATACAAAAGCCCTAAGCAGGAGACTGGGTCGCATAACTCTCTTTAGTTTCTGGCGGAACATCTCTTTTGGTCAGGTCAATGATGAGTGCAGATTATGAACATCTCTTGGGGAGACTGAAAGTCAACCGAACCTTTTCGACTGTGCTACGTGACCTTACAGATTGGGTTCAGTGAATCAAGTGGTACTTAATTTTGTTTTCATTATCTCACGTTCTGCCTGCTTTCAAAACGGTTACCCACACTGCGGTTGTTCACGTGTCTGTATACCGCTGTAGCAAATTCGAAACCGAACGATCGTTTGGATCATTTGTGAACTGTTTATCATTCTTCTTCCATTCTGGCTTTGATCTATTCAGATCGGTATCATAAATGAAACCTCGCTCATGTGGTACAGTTTGGGGAAAATTGGATGTACTCATTTGACCGCCATTTTCAGACGGGTTACGCAGTTGGCGATCACGTTTCGGTCGCGTGACCTAGGCTGAGCCAGTGACCTGGAGGGAAACGCGACAATATGTGATGCTGTTGGGAAGGCCTACTCAGGGACCTCTCGGGGCGATTCAGCAGTCCCGTTTCGCTGCTAATCAAGGGGCAGTATTCAATTATTGAATGGATCTGAGATTGGTTATACGAAAGAGAATCATTTCCAAGACAAATCAGACGGTAATCATAGCGCCGTCTACATGTGACCAACTTATTCACATTAGATAGCACGTTCAGTGTGTTCTCATTCTGAGTTTCTCTCGGGTCTATACAGCAACAATAGCCTGAGTTTTAGGCAGGTTAATAGTGACAGCTGACAAGTAAATTTACCAACGTTTCGCTCTTTGAAAAGTGTCTATGAACCGTGTAGTATGGAATGTTTATACGCAGGAACATCTACAGAGGTCATTTTGTGATTGGCTTGACTGTGTGCTGAAGAAGAACAACTGCAGTTAATCACGGAACCATATCAAACTGAATTTCTGGCCAAATCATCGACCCAAAATCAGAGATGCTGTTTGACAAGGATTTATGAGGTTTTCGCAAGTATCACAGCTGACAGAAATTTGGATTTCTCAGAGAGTATCTACTCATTCAATTCATTCTTCAGTCGATCGTTTATGAATCGCTGTTTGGGACAACGATAGCAAATGTTCGGTACCCCACATGAACAACAGAAAACCGTCGAAATTGACTAACATTGCCGCTGGATCCACCACATCTGTTGTTCTCTGGATCTTTGGTGAGACAGCCGTGCCGCGAATCGTGAAGAAAATTGTTTTGGAGAAATTTGTGTATTAAGCACATGAGTTTATGCTAAAAAATTCCGTGATACATGACACTTCGAAATGTATGAAAAATCAATAGAATGTACTTTGTTGACCCGTGCTAGTTAGTATTATTCAGAAAAGTACGATCAAGTCTTGCTTGTTGCCATTTTCTACCGAGCATCTATGAAATTGGTGACCGTTATAGATCTAATTCTGTGATACTTCAAATGGTCTCAATAATGCCTTCTATGCAACGCTGAATCGTCATAATTCGTCTCCCTGTTAGGCTTCATGTGTTCTTGATTAAGGGTAATTTGTGCTTTAAAAATGGAATATTGGCTGTCGAAGTATGCATCGTTTCGAATATTTCCTAGATTAAAATGCTTGACTTCTGAAAAGATGACGGTTTCAGTAAGAAGGAATTGAGAAGTTCGAAAAACTCCGTGGGCGTCCCTGGCAAGATGTGTCAACGGTGCATTGTGCGGAAGAGCGGGTTGATGAAACGAGGGGAGATGGAGAGCTCGGATAAGAAGGTAACGGAGGCACCGGCTTCCCCTACTATCCGGTTGTGACTTGCGGAATTATGAATATGGACATTTAGACTATCTGCTGGATATGACGCAGAATCGAAACCGGTGGAATGGATGTTGCCCAATCTGCACTACTAATGCGCTTAACTACCCACACCCTAAACCTTAAATGAACACAGCCGAAAAGGGCTGAATAAACGGTACAGAGTAAAACAAAACTGAACCACTTTGATCCTTTCGTGCATTCGCCAAATTTTATTAGATGATGCTTGGTGTTGATGTGATATGTCCATTCTATTTTGTACCCGGGTAATTTTT